CTCAGTACTGCGCGACTGAACCTCGTCAGTATGACGGTCGCAGTGCTTAATGGAAAAGGAAAAGAAAGAAGGAAAAGGAAGAAAGAGAAGCGATATGATTGTGGGATTGGAGGGAGTGAGACTAATGGATGAAGAGTTGTGCACCTCTCTTGCAATGAAGTGGACCAGGAAGGAATCGAACCTCATATTTTCACTCTTTCGGAATCTTTTGAATCGTGGCATGTTAAACTCACAGTACTGGCCCTTGCGCTCCATCTTCAGCGATATATTCTGTAATGTTTGATTTCTAGCACAATCAACAGACACTTTTCCAGATTTCTGCCGGTTTTTCGCAGATTCCAGTTCATTTCTACTGCTAGAAAAACCAGACGACTCATTATTTCCTTCGGATATGGTAAATGAGAATTGATTCTTGCCAGGAATTGAAATCACAGCCAGCTTTATCCAAAGCGACTTTTCAAAAATGGAGGGATTGGTAAAATTGCTGTTTCATATACTTGAGTTTCGATTTGCACTTGTGCCACGAATTAGGGCAATTCAAAGATATTTTTAGCGAAATAGCTATTTCGCTTACCAGATAAGCTGCGATGCAGAAACTTTGCAAGGATGTTCTATATTCATTTATGGTTTTAATTCAGTTTGGAGGTGAAATTCCTTGTACTATTTGGGCTAATTCGGAATACATCAGTCTCTCGTACAGGAATGAGAGTGGGTCAGCTTTTTGACTTTATGATTCTAAATCAGAAATTTACAGGATCGCAGTTACCATGTTTTCGTGGTGGTATCAGTACAGTGCGATCGTTAAAAGATCGTTTCCATATGAATTACACCGAAGAGCAAATGCAGCAACTGGTTGAAACGATGGTTGAGCAGAGTCGCGACTCGATCACCACAAGGCTTTATGATAATTATCAGTATTACAGTAATGGTATTTTATAAATTTTAATCCTACCTTTTTTTCGGGATTCCAAGGTTTGAATTTCGCATCGTTGCCCCTCTTTGGTTAGAATCTCAGCAATTTCAGCAGAAATATAAATAATGAATGTAGAATTTCTTTAAAATTTGTGAAAAAAGTAGGTTAAATTTGATCTGCTCTAGAGGAAAATTAAGGCTTTTTTTTGAGATTTGGACATAATTGGGATGAAAAACTTGAGTTGCGTTAAAAATTTGACTTTTTTTCTAAAATTTCACATGCAAATACGATATAGTTATTCATTCAGTAGAACGTATAGGCATAGTTTTATGTTAGTTAAAGATTACACGATACGGGGTTGTGACTGCAGTGAGTATTAAGTTTTTTTAAATTATTATTATTGAGAGGGAATAAAAGGATTTTAAAAAAAAAAAAACCGGTCTTGTAACCCAAGTTATCCCTCAGATTTCCACATATGATTAGGTAAATATATGTATAACCGCTATAAATGTGTACATAGGCGGATTCAGGACGGACTTCTGATTGAGGAGAGGAGCGACGAGGATTGAGGGAGGAAGAGAGAATGGGCTTTTGGTGGAAGTGACGGGTGTAGGAAGGGCTGAGGACCCCCCTCCCACCCTGGAACTGTGCAAAAATTATAAGTACAGTTGTAACACACTGCTACTTAAAGCTACCTTAGTTTAGGGCTACTTTAGGCGTTAGTTTACTTTA